TCTTTATTAACAAGCAAACGCAATCAAATAATGCCTATTTCACTTTGAAGAGTTTACAAAATATACTGTAAGCCCTGTTAAATAGCAAAGGAATAAAATGCCTATTTCACTTTAAAAGAGTTACTTACCCCATGCGTTATCACTGACATTTCAAGCAACTAAAGTACTTTCTGCTGCCGTTGCTATATTAGCAACAATTTGACTTCCTGCTGCTAATATTATGAATTTGCTATGCATGCTGCTGCTATTAAATTCGCTACATGCGATCTGTATAACTGTGCATACTGCTGCTACAGCTGCACAAAGGTACTTAGAATTGCAATGCCCCTTTTAAATAAATGAAACGCAAGTGATGCCTATTCGCTTGAGGAGTTCACATACCATCCATTTTTAGTCACTGAAACTTCAGCAATTGTAAGTTGCTTTGGATAAAAGCGTCTGCAAAATTAATAAATGTGAATGTAAACCGGTCTACCTACTGCTGCTGCAACTAAACGCATGTTTTGATTTGCTATGCATGCTGCTATTAATAATTCACTAATAATGCAATCTGATTCTATGGATACTGCTGCTACGCTCCATGAAAGTACTAGAATTGCTGTAGCCCATCCATGCATTATCACGTCTTTATTTGAATGTATCTGAAGGCAACCGACTGTCCTCATAAACGTGTCATTGGAATTTTAATTTCATTTGACCTTATAAAGCAGCATTTATGAGCGCAGAGCTGCTTTTTGTACAGCCGTTACCGGGGAAACGGCAATATTTCTGCGCTCCTAAAGCGCCACCTCGTGGCAGAGAATGAATTTGCATTTCCAATAAGCCTTTCTTGCTGTTTATGGTCAGATGATCAATGCAAATATCAAATAATGTTTTTACCTTTTTACGCAGCAAACACAGTTGTAAATGAGAAAGAAGTTAATGTGCCTTCTAAAAATCTAAACAATTAAGACAGTAATATTTATACATTACTGTTCATTTTACTTGTGCAGCTCTTAAAATGGGTCTTAAATTTATTTTAAAAAATTCTGCAGATACCCTGTAAATAGTGAAATAAAATTCCTTCCTTCATATTTGTTGATATTTGTGTATTTTGATATATTTTTGATTGACATTTAAACTCCTATCTGATTTTCTATATTTGAAAAAAAAAAAAGGTCTTTTTTTATTTGGGCTAGTTAAATTAATTTACTGATTAGGTACCAAAATCTCAAGAGTACCTGCCCGAAGGGCTACCAGGGATTTTGAAATTTTGCAGGCCCTGAACTGAAACGCCAACTGCAAACCAACCCCACTAGTGAGGTGTGCATCTGAAAGCGATCCGTTCACGGTTAAAGTAGAAATGAATGCCCACAGAAGATATCAAAAGCATTGGAGATTTTGGGTAAATAAGGTAATCCCCAATTCACTTTACTGTTCTAAAGCCGCGATGCTTGACGTTGTATTCTCACATACATGAACTAGGACAACTGCTTGCTGCTGCTGCTAATGCTACTGCTGTTATATGAACAAGACATGCTTAGTAATTACTCCTCGCGCGAATAACCTGCGCATAGTTTTACAACTTGTATGTTTTATAGTTTAAATATGTAAATCTGACGAATGCAATAATCTAGTGATGGGACGATTGATACCGAGGCTCCGTCGCAGTTTTCAAAGCACTATTGTATCACACACTGTGCTGATGCTTGTATCGAAATGACAATACCACGTGATTGATGACGTTTGAAGCTTCGAACGTCATGCAGTAGGCTGTCGTAAGGTCGGGACAGCTAGTTTGAAAAAAATTGGTGCTTCGCATGACTCTTGTGTTTGATTTTACATTGACTTGTGTGTGTGTGTGTGTGTGTGTGTGCACTTATTTGAGATTCAGTAGAATAGCGTAGAATAACTTCAACACCAGACAGACACTGAATGCACGTCACACCTCTATTGCATTTTATCATGTTCTAGCTGGGGTCTCAGAGACCCCAAACAGCTCACCCAAAATATTTTTGCTACTACTCGCGTCAATTATTAATTGTAATCACACACTTGTATATTTTATATTATTGATCAATATGTGAATCCATTGACCGGACTACGCATGACACGAGTTGGCACCGGTTGGCACAGATTAAAAACATTTTCAACCCATCCTCTACTCCAAGATGTTTCGTTAGATACGCTGGAGAAACCGAGTCTGACCACCAGATGTCGCTAATGTGCACTGTGTTAAAAAGCTTCGAGTAATGAACCGTTTTTCGGCACAATTTGATGAAAGCCTCAAACGGTTCAGAAAGCCTCGGTTTCCCATCACTACAATAATCCACTGAATCAGAGTGAAGACCATTTACTTATCTTAGCTGTTTAGTTTCAGAGAAACTCTGAAAGCGCGCTGCAGGAATCTCTAGTGAATGCTAGCCAGCCATATAAATGCAAGGCAGTAAGCTCATTGGCTGCATATGCAGCATGAACCAATCAGCTTGTGCCAAGTCGTTTAACTCTCTGAATAGCATCAGTTACATTAACAACCCATCAGCTTGCGCCATCTAGAGTTTCATGACTAAACTATATATTTAAATGATCATGTCCAACAGTATTGAAAATCTGTTTTAAAAAAATCTAGATGGAATGATATCTTGAGAAGATGAAGTTGATCTTAGACGTTCAACAATGGCTTTACAGGATTCAAAAGAAACAGGCTGAAAATCGCTCCACGGCATCGAACCGCTTGATCTCTCAGGTTGAACAGAATTCCCCAAGGGCAGGTTAGATCTTAATTGAACGATTTTCTCATTAAAGAATGTACAGAATTTTTCACACAGTGATACGGAAGCATCAGTAAAAATGTTGACAGGGGGACTGACTGAGCACAGAATCAATAACAGAGAAGAGGTTCTTAGGTCTGTGTAAATTGACTGGAGTAATGGCTTCTGAAAATTCAGCTTTGTCATCAGAGGAATAAATTAAATTTTAAATTCAAATAGAAAACAGGTATTTTAAAGGGGTCATATGATGCGATTTCAAGTTTTCCTATTTCACAATATTATTTTTGATCAAATAAATGAAGCCTTAATAGGCCTGTCGCAATTATCAATATATCGACTTATCGCTCAATATATGTACATGACCTCAATAATTTTTGGTGACGCAATATATCGGCCATTATATTTACTTAAGAATTAATGTCACCATGTTTAGTACATTCCACTTGCGCCTGTGTCTTTTGCAGCTTCTTGTACATAACGTGGTGTAGTCATGAGGTGCTAGTTCAAATTTAAAAAATGCTTCTACAAAAAACTTTAATCTGCAGATATGGCCTTGTTTAGGGATCTGTGTCTTTGTGCATACATACATCTGACTGCTAAGTAGTGATTGTGTTTTTCAGCAATAGTGTGCACCCTTAATTTACAGAGAAAAGAAGGTCAGGAGAAAATCTGTAGATGGAAAAATCTCCATTCACGTTCTTTGTGCATTTTTCTTTTTTTCTACTTGTTACTTTGCCGTTTTTGTTAGAAAATGTCAATTTTAATAGAATGTAAATATAATTATTTATTTATTTTAATGGAAAATTTACTATTTATTCAAGTTTAAGGTATCTAATATTTTGATACTTAATTTCCATGATCTAAATATTCTTTAAAAATTAAAAGTTTGTAGTCATTTGGAAGTGTGTAGGCCTTCTTGCATTATTATGCTGTTACATTATGATTATATATTCAGTGGCATAAAATGGTCTTTAAAATGACAATCTTATCGCAATTATTTCTGGGGCAATATATCGCACAACAAAAAGTTGTTATCGTGACAGGCCTAAGCCTCAGTGAGTATAAAAGATGCATTGTAATGTGCATTATTATCAGTTAATTAATTAGTTAAATCTTTTTAATAAAATATATTGGCCATAATGTTCATATATTTTATACTAGGTTATTGATTACATAGCTTCCTGGGCTAGTTTTTTGTGGGTCAGTTATGGAATTCAACTATCAAACAATTCTGAATAATAAACCTAACTGACCTGCAATACTATGCTGTAAAACAAATCGAATAATGATTTAAAATAAACTCCTGTCAGGAAATTTACTGTTACAATTGCCCCTTCCCCCTCTTATCTTTTTGTCTTTGTTTCCCACAGGTAGCAGAAGTCTGCACGGTTGTGGACATGTGTTGACACCAGTCGAGGCTTTTCGCATCAAAAGCAATGGAGCCCTGCGATTTAACAAAGCACATGCTCAGCTACACAGCCGTACACAGCAGGTCTTTGGAAGTTTGAAAAGCCGTTTCCAGTGCCTGCGTGACATCGGCTCCATTCAGTCACCTGAGTCAGTGGCATGTACTATCAAAGCCTGCTGTGTCCTGCACAACATCTGCAAGAAGTTCTCCGTGCCGTTACCCTTGGATTTTAGTGTAGAACCGCTCCATCCACCATCAGAGGTGGTGAACATCATGGCAGAGCAGCCGTTTGACTACATGGAAGACACTAAAGTTGAAATGATAGAAATGTTTTTTAATATTGCAGAGGATGAAGGCAAATAAGCTGTGACCAGATTTAAAAGAACAGTTGTGATAGCAAAAAGCCAGAAACCATTACAGTTTAAACCATGTACTAAATAATGTAATTAACACAGACAAATGCATGCCAATGCCAGTTGATTCTTCACATAGTTTTGTTCAATTAATCAATAATTGATTCAAATTAGTTAATGCTAATACACTAATATTTGTCAACAAGTGATGTGAATAAAAACAAACTGTTTATGGAAGACTTAAAATAATACAAGTCTGTTACAAGAAATGGTATTGCAGTGGTACCATGGCTCAGTGATGCTGTCAGCTGTTAGTACCATGGTACTTTCACATACAGCACAATAGTGAATAATTATCATATTTATATATACACCAAAAGAGTTGCCATGGTTGTGTCTAAAAACATGTATTACAATGGTACCACCATGTCCAGAAAAGATGTTAAAGGGATAGTTCACCCAAAAATGAAAATTTTATGTTTATCTGCTTACCCCCAGGGCATCCAAGATGTAGGTGACTTTGTTTCTTCAGTAGAACACAAACGGAGATTTTTAAGTCAAACCGTTGCAGTCTGTCAGTCGTATAATGCATGGCAATGTAACAAAATCTATGAGAGTAAAAGAAACATACACAAACAAAACCAAATTAAACCCTGCGGCTCGTGACGATACATTGATGTGTAAAGACACGAAACGATCGGTCTGTGCAAGAAACTGAACAGTATTTATATCGTTTTTTTACCTCTGATTCACTGCAATGTCCGAACTGTCCAGAGCGCATCCTGAGCGCGTTCAACAGCCGGTGCCTGACTTCTGAACACCATTGACACTCTATCTACAATCTCAATTAGGAGTGTCAATGGTCCACTTGAGAGATAGGTGGCGGTAATGCACTTATAAGACTGCGATCCGCCGTAAAGCAAGAAGAAGACGCGTCAGGCGCTGGCTGTTGAATGCGCTCAGGATGCGCTCTGGACAGTTCGGACATTGTGGTGAAAATCAGAGGTAAAAAAACGATTTAAATACTGTTCAGTTTCTTGCACAGACCGATCATTTCGTGTCTTTACACATCAATGTATCGTCATGAGCCGCAGCAAAGTCACTTACATCTTGGATGCCCTGGGGGTAAACAGATAAACATCAAATTTTCATTTTTGGGTGAACTATCCCTTTAATACCTGGTACTTTTTAAAATCATTTTTAAGTTAATTGTTTAAAAATTGCTCGTGGCTGGAAACATATCATGCCTGGTTAGGACATGATGTAAATGTATTCAAAAGTTACAGTTAAATCTTCGTTTTACAAAAGTGCAAAAAAATTACATGACAGCAAATACCAAAACAGGTAACACAACACACATTATTTACCCAAATATGTGAAGGCAAATGTGAAAGTTACTTAAATTTGACTGAATGTGACTGGAATTTCACTAATGTGACCACAACTTAACCTTAAACTCTGATTGGTAGTTTAAGAAATACAAAATGTTTGTTTACACCATTCTTTCCATATAATAACAGTATGCAGAAACCATATCTGTGAAGCAAAACCTTTCCCCTTCTTGGCAGCTCTGAAAAAAATCATTCTCTATTTTACATACAGATATGACATTATTTAAATCAGGGTACCCAGTCCTGATGTAAATAATTACACAATCATCGTCTTTAGCTGAACTATTCCTTTAAAGCATGTTATACGACAGGCAGCTGAGAATACGTGACACTGGCAAAATAAAAAATTATGGAAAAATACTTCGGTATTAACCTAAAACAAATCAAATTCAACTGACATTAAATAGACCATCTCTTATTTCAATTTTAACATAAAATTCTCATTTAAAAGCAATGTGCAAAATAAGCAGCACTTAGTACAGCATAAAGGAAAGTTTCCTTTCAGAGACCACAGTTTATCAAGCAAAAATTTAACATTAAAAACAAGCCTATACACAGCTATTTGGTTAAATAAAGAGTGGCAGTTAAGTTTAAATGGTAAACATTTAGTGATTTATATCTTAGGCTCAAAATACCATGGCCAGTATCTTTCAGCCTTGTTAGCAGAAGAGTGTTTTATCTAAAATAATATTAATAATAATAACTTAATGGATTAGGCTTTCAGTTTTTATTTTTTGAAGGGTATGTATTTGAAATGGGCCATTGGACCATATGATATGGTTTATATTTCTGTTCATATTTGACTTTGTTTGTCATATTCTTTTAATGCTATTGCGTTAACATAGATCATGTCTGAGTTTTCATTGAGAGGCTCTGACTTAGGCCCAGCTTTGGGTTGTAGACTATCCATGATGCACTGGTGCAGGAACACATACTGAGACTGTAAGAGACAGAGAGATAAGCATAAAACAGATGAAAGTAAAGAGTGTCTGCCAGGAATACGCATTTCCTTATTTCCAAGTGATAAAATTATTACCTGTAATTACATAACATGTAATAATTATAAAAATACAGATGCCATCCTGTTAGAACAAAGAATGTCCTTTTAACTCAAAATAGGCATACCTTAAGAACGTGCAGATAATGTTACTGTACTGTTGTCAAGTCTTAAAACCTAATTGTAGAATTAGCAGTAACATCACTGTATGTATATATGGAATAATGAAAAAAAAACTTGGGAAAAACAGTAAAAGAATATTTCTTATATTTCTTTGTTTTATTGCTACTAGTTATATAAATTAGAGTGTTTTCATTTCATGTTGCTTATTTCTGCATTGTTATTTTGGTGTTTACTGATACTTTAATCATTGGCATGAATGCAAAGAATGCTGCTTTTGATAAATTTCCAAAAGCACAGTGGTTTATTAGTACATAAATGTTTAAGTAGTTTGATATTTTTGCATTATTCCATGATATATGTGACCCTGGACCACAAAACTAGCTGAATAAAAAAGCTTTCCATTTATGTATGGTTTGTTAGGATAGGACAATATTTGGCCGAGATATAACTATTTGAAAATCTGGAATCTGAGGGTGCAAAAATTCAAAATATTAAGAAAATCGCCTTTAAAGTTGTCCAAATGAAGTTCTCGGCAGTGCATATTACTAATCAAAAATTTTTTGATATATTTATGGTAGGAAATTTACAAAATATCTTCATGGAACATGATCTTTACTTAATATCCTAATGATTTTTGGCATAAAAGAAAAATCAATCATTTTGACCCATACAATGTATTTGAGGCTATTGTTACCAATATACCCCAGCGACTTAAGACTGGTTTTGTGGTCCAGGGTCACATATGTGGTTACATACTGTAAAATATATAGTCTGAGATGGAATTTTTACAGTAAAATTCTGGTGACCACAGCAGCCTTTTTTTAAGTGTTTGGATCCTCCAGGAAAAAAGCTAGCCATAGCCCAAATAGCCTATATTCATCATTATCAAAATAATCGCCACAATAATAATACCACCACCTAGAACCCAATTCTATGCTAAATTGCTCTAAAAGTAAATCCTTTTTACAATTATGTATCTAAATCAGCGTTACCTCAGTTTGCACCATTAGTGGCCGGCTGAGTCTCATTTGCTTGACAAACGCTGCAATTCCCACTGCCTTCTCTTTGTGCAGCTGCTGTAGCAGGACGTCCAGCGCTATCAGGGTACCTGTCCGGCCCACTCCGGCACTAGTGTACAGAGATGGTGACAGAAGGATTAAAACTTTGCTTTATTTTGTCAATGTAATTATTTATACTGCTTTGCTGTCAGCTCTCAGCAGTCGACTGACTGTGATTATTCATGTTAAGTTAATATTTGAATTGGGTTTCAAAGTGAGTAGTGGTACACCTGCAGTGTACAATTGTCGGCCCTGCAGAGAAAGAGCTCTCTATGTGCTGACGGATGAGTCCTCTGAATTGGATCAGCTCCTCTGTGCCAGCGGGAATACCGTGATCCGGCCATGCTGTGAAGTGGAAGTGCCTCACTGTTCGTGTCTCGGAGGTGTCTTTCTGTTATAGACAAAAAATAGACAGAAATAGATTGTGTCTTATGCTAAACTGACCGGTGATGTGCTAATATATTCATATTCTAGTTAAATGGCTCATATCAGAAGAAAGCAGAATACATGTTTCTGAATACCAGATGAACTAATGATAAGAGTATAATGTGGTAAAGTCTGTCAAAGCTTGTGCTATTTCTCACTGTGTGTAGCACCTACAGCTCTGCAGATCCTGCTGAAGGATCCCAAGAAATGAGTAGATTATCTATATTGAATAAGATATCTAAATATTTAATTTTTACATCTATAATCTGTCACAATGTGATAATTACTATGTGAAGAGGCAAATAAAAACTATCCACTTGTTAACTCTCATCATCACTTGTTTAGAAATCATGCGTCACCTTTTCTGGTTCCAAATGCTTTATCATATCATAAAAGCAAACAACAAACAGTGCTAAAATACTCTCGCAGTGTGCTTTAGTACTACCGAAAAACCACGATCCTGATAAATATGACCTTAAATCACTGCCAGACCGTGATTAATATTTTCTGAATTCTTAAAATATTGGTGTATGGAACACCGTGAAATTTTTATATTTTAGCTTAAAAGTGTGCTATATATAAATAGTTATCATAAACCGCTGTCAGGGCAAGAGAGAATTTGGATGAAAAATGAAGTCACAAAAAACATACAACTGTTTTTGGCACCCCAAAAAACACTAATATTTATAATCATTTCAGACAACATTAAGCAGTCTGGCATGTTGCTCTGAATATTATGTTTCATTTTATTGTCATTAAACAGAAAAATATAAATATTTCAGTTCACATTTTTGACATTAAATTCTCGCAGAGTCCAACTTGGAAATGTATCCTCCGATTTCACTGTAACAAGCAGGTTCCCATTAAGACATGGCATGTAGTCCAGTGGCCAGTATTGCTCACACTTGACCTGGAGAAGTTCAATCAGAGAAGTTAAATCAGAAAAAATAAATAAAAATGAATTCAAATAACTGCACCAAGTACAGAGGTCAAATCTGATGTAGCAAGCTAAAAAATTATGCAACCAAACCACTCTATGTGAAATACTGTGTTATTACACAAAATTGGATTGAAAATGCCAAACAAACATTTTTTAAGCTCTGATCATTGAATTTAACATCACGCAACAATATACAACATAATGTAGCATAATACTGTTTCATACATCACTACATAATGTAGTTTCATATAGTGTTTAAAAAAATGGAAGCCAGTAAACACTTGAAACCACAGTAAGCAGAACTGAACTTTGCCTTACACTTCCACTCTCAGTGCAGTTGGTTACCATGACGATGGCCTGTGACCTTTTCTCCCAAACCATTCTCCAGAAGTCATTGACAGTGGATGGCAGTGGACCTTGAGCAGCGATATACTGTCTGCTTGCATTGCCGTAGCCCTGATATGCACATAAACAAATGTCAATCCACCAGGAGCACTTTTCTCTGGAGATACAAGCGAGGTAGTGCTTTGTGTTATGAATTACAGCTGATGTTAACTACTATTTAATGTACTTACAGGCATGTAGTTAGCATTGATATAATCAGAATCACCCTCATCCTTTGTGGTGAGATGCACTCTAGAGGAGTCATCTTAAAGACAGAGAGAGGAGGATAAAATGTAATTTTCCAAGACATATACTAGACTGTTCTATACCAACTGAACTCAAGTCCTGTTAAAACATATTCAGTAAAAGCATACTCAACAAACACTCTGAATATTGAGAATTAACTTGATGATTCTAACATATAAACAGGTTGGCATTTTCAATATTTAAATTTTTTGCAACAGTCTAAACTAGGCCTGGTTCTGTTTTAATGCCACTTAAAATTCAGTCAGAGATAAAAAATAATAAAAATGTAATTTCATATTTGATAAACCGTACCTCATATTCCTCACTGAAACCTCTATTCTCATCACGACTCATGTTTTGATAATATTCAGGAAATTTATCCAAGGGAATTGGTCTGAAAAACATTTCACAGTTGTTTACCTTTTATATATATATATATATATATATATATATATGTGTGTGTGTGTG